ATAAAAACACATTTTGGAAATTTTTTATCTGACCAAGCTTCTTAAATAATTTATTTTATTTTTAAGCAACCAAAAATAAGTTAAAAAAATTATATTTTTATAATTTGAAATATTTGAATATTTAATTACCACACATGTGTTATTGCCATAAACACACATGTGTTTTGACAATTTTATAATTTATGGCTTGAAATAAGTAATTAAAACAATAMWTACAGATAAGTACAATTCCCAAAAATGAATTATGTTATTAAAAGGGCATATTTTTGCTATCACAATATTTAAAAACATCACAAAAGATAGACAAGATAAAAATTACAAAGTGGACTATACATAGTTAAAAGTATAATACGTATAACGTAAATTCAAAAAACATTTTACAATTGTATAGATCTGAAAATATAAATATTTGAGCTGAAATAAGTTGTTTTAACATTGCTCTATAAATTTAGATAACAGTGTACAAGAATAATGATTTATACAGTTCAAATTAAAAAGGGTTTCAAATAACTTTAATTTAGATGATCTGACATTATATAAGTCAGTTAACGATGAAAGTCTGTGAATTATTAATTTGTACAATATTTTCTAAAACTTAAAAAACAATTTTAGGAATAGTGGCAAACAATATCTATGAAATAAAATTCTTGGATAGTAAAATTTTTAATTATTTTAAATATGAATGATACAATTTGAATACATGAATTGATGGATTTAATGATTAAATCTATTTGAAACCAACCAAACAAAATTTATAAATTATTGTAAGAAATTAATAATTTGAATTMTTAAAAATGTATTATTTATTTTAAAGATAAATATAATTTATTAGATTGGTATTTTAGTATAATAAAATAGGTTTAAAAGCTTTGATATTAGTTTATTGTCTGCCAACTGTTATTTTCTAAATAATTTAACAAGTCATTTTATGTACTGAACATATAACATATATCATTTACTTGTAGTATCTATATAATTATACTTTATTTACTAGACTAGATATTATCAATTTGAGTAGCTAAAGTCTGAGTATTAATAGGAGAAGGATTAGAGAACATGTTGATAGGTTGATCTGCAAGAGACATAGTTGGTTCTTTATTGATAACATCCTTATATTCATCAACAGATTCATTGACTTCGGTAGCTATTACTTCATCATCACCTAGAATTTTTAAAGCTACGACTAGATCTTGTAAGATTTCAGTTTCACGAAGCTCAATCAATTGATAACGATGATTAAATACTGACAGATGAGCAAACACACAATTTAAATGTGTATGCAAATTTAAAAGTACTAACTCACGAAAGTGACTATGATAAAGATGAGCTAAAACATGAAACAACAATCTTAAAATTTTTTTTACTACAATCTCAAAGCCGACAGGAAATTCATTAGCTGTAAAAATAAACATAATTAATGCATAAATAAATAAATAAATCTAATGTATAATTAATAACTGTTAAAAATATATTATGTACCATATTTAGTTGGAAAAATTGTCTCATCATTAATAGTTTTTTGAACAAATGTCATAACATAATCAATGTATAATGGTGCAGCAACGCGAGATTTTTTTCCTTTTTCGTCAAACCACAAATAGGTTCTATACAACAAAATTTTAAAATGCAATAAATAAATAGTAATAATAAAACATAACTTTAGCTGAAAAGCATTACATGTAATTTTTTTTTGTAATCAATAATATTTTTATTTAAATATTATACTACATAATTGATATTTAATATATCAATAAAAATGTATTAACACTATTAATTGAATAACAAATAATTTTTCAATTTATAACTTATGAAATACCTATAACTTGGTCCAACCATATCAGGACATCCTGAAATTGTACAGAATTCTGACACAGTTCCATAAATCAAGTTGGTGTTGTCAAAAATTGAAATTGCTAGGATAAATAAAAATAGAAATGAAAATAAGAAACAGATATTGACAAAAAAATATATTTACTTACTATGAGAAGCGAGCCACTCATTAAAATCTATTCCATTTGGCATTTCAACTAATATCCTAAGATCAATGTCTGGTAACTTTTTTTCTAATACAGCTTCTTCCAAATACAATTTGTTATCATCACTACATAATGATTCCTTGTCTTTTGCCTTTCGACCTTTCCTATAAACAAACAAATATATATTTTAATAGGAATTGAATTTATCTATTTAGACTAATTTATAATTAAAATTGACAGTTGAACTGAAATGTTTAAATATTTGTTAGAATTTATTATTATTTATTTATTTTTAACACTGATAAACATACCTAAATTTTGTATTTAGTCATATCATCAACACTATCTAGACCAAAGGTTCCTAAACTTTTCAGTATACGACCCATTTTGGAAAATGTTTACATTTTGGCAACCCACTAAATATAAATGAGCTTTTTTTATTTCATTGAAGATCACTATCTTGGTAATAACTTTGAGCTTATCAGTGTCATGGTGACATATATCAGGTATAATTGTAATTGTAACATATGATTATCAATGATACAATTAAAAAAAAAATGTACAATCTAGTGCTATGGACTAGTGTCCCGCATTGCATA